GCTGAAATGGCCCGTCTGAACGCAGCCTGAGACTCCGAGTGAAGGGCGGGGTATAAATCCAGTCTCTGCTTCTTCTTCTTCTCTATGTGCCGGGACTTCTTTCTCCAAACTCCTATGCCATGCTGCCTTAAGCTGTTCTCCTTCAAGTCCCAGTTTCCATCAGACTTTTGGGTTTTGCCTTCTTAGCTTTTCCCTCCAAGGACCGAAAGGGGCAACCACGCTATCCCTTCTCATGTACCCCTCAGGACGCTTCTCTGCCTCCCTGTTGGGTGTTACAAGTCAAAACACTTCAGTATTTGCAGGGTTAATGATGTTTAAGTCACATGTTTGTTTGTAACCAATCTGTTTAGACAAGAGAATGCCCGGGAACTTTGGAGTTGATTTGCTAGTCTGATTGGAAACCAAGGTGTCAAGTACTTAGCATATTGGCTTCTCCCCTCCTCTCTTTGTTCTGACCACAGAAGGAGACGCCATTTCGGCTCTCCCCGTTTTACCTTTTAGCTGCAAGGATGTAGGCATATTAGCTCTTTGTTATTTTCATATCTTGTGTACCTTTTCCCCATGTTAGGTTTATAGTAAACTTTTATATTTTAAACACACCATGGACTCAGTCTCTTAATACTCTGCTGACTTACTTAAAAAGAATCCCAACACCAACAAAACAGGGGCCCTCCCCCACCTTCACAAAACACAGCCCAACATACAACTCTCCTGCCAGATGGGCTCTCCCTACCATGTGCATACCAGATGTTACACCACGGTGGCTTGTGCCATCACTGCAACACAAGGACTCCGAGTCTTCATCAGCTGATACGGCCACAACCTGGAAGCAACAGGCTACCAGCCCTTCGGCTCTCACAAAAAGCTTGTGGAGCCTCACAAACTGTGGCTGAAGTAGCAAGTGCAGGGGGACCTGCAGGGGGCGGTGTCACAGCTCAGGTGGGGTGTCACCTGATGCTGCCACCACTCTGGTTCCAGGCTCCCTTGAGAAGGCCCAGAGCACCCTCCCAAGACCTTCAGACCTCCCTTTTGGCTTGACTTACTCAAAAAGAATCCCAACACTCCCCATCTCAGATGAGACTGGGCGTCCCCCAGCGTGGTGACCTGGCTTTTGGTTACGTCATGCCGCAGCGCATCAGAGACAACAGCAGTGCTTTGCGAGTCACAAAAGAGCGAAAGAGCGTTGTGTCCTTACATCCATCGCTCCCCGTTTCACAGGTGCAGCGGTGTGACCGTGATCTTGGTCACCTGCGCACGGCCTGAGATTGCCTGCGTGCGTGACAGACGGGTGGAAGATCAGGGAAGGGGAGCGCCAGGGCTGTGGTGCTTTCAGCGCACTGAAAGGATCATCTCTGATCCCAGAGGCCTTGGCCCTGACCCAACCGACTCGGGACTGCAGAGGTAGAACCGACTTGACCGTTCTAGGTCTCTGGCGGTGGATCGTTGGTTTTTAGAAGGTTCCCTTGCACGAAGAGTTCCCCACAAGAAGAAAAGTAACACAAACGGGAACAGCAGCGGTGGTTTGCCGTTGGCTGCCTCTGTGTAGCAACCCTGGACTTCCTTGGTGGTCTCCCGTCCAAGTATAAACCCAGGGCTGACCCTGCTTGGCTTCTAGGGTCTGACAAGATCGGGCTAGCCTGGGCTATCCAGGTCAGGGCCAAGCAGGAGTAGAAAGAGTTAAATCCCCCCCTTGATATGCGAATTTTCATAGAAGAAGAAGAGATTGGATTTATACCTCGCCCTTCAGAACCCAAGGGAGTCTCAGAGCGGCTGACAATCTCCTTTCCGTTCCCCTCCCCACAACAGATACCCTGGGAGGTCGGCAGGGCTGAGAGAGCTCTGAGAGAACTGCCCTTGAGAGAACAGCTCTGACAGAGGTATGGCTTGCCCAAGGTCATCCAGCAGCTGCGAGTGGAGGAGTGGGGAATCAAACCCGGTTCTCCCAGATTAGAGACCGAGCACTTAACCACTGCACCAAACTGGCTCTCAAGGGATTTTTTTTCTTTTGTGCGGAGCACTCAAAAAACGGCATCCCCAATGTGCTGTTTACCACGGCAGGGTGTAATTTACCACCTCAGTTTTCTACCACTTCCTTCTGCTCCCATGTACAAACCAGCAATCATCACACAGAAAACTCCCCCAACAGGACAAGGGAGGGCCAGACGATGCCCTGCTCTGAGGGGTCACACAGTGTGGCACCTTCTGCGTTTCTCTGGGCCGTATCCAAATGGCCGGAAAGAAAACAAGAAACTGCGAAGCGTACCTTAATAAGCTCCGGGCCCAGCCTAGCTAATGGCCAGAACAATCTCGCAGATTATCACAAGGCACAAAGTCCATTTCTCTCCCTCTCCCTCGCTCGGTGCGCGCAGGCGCTTCTTGCTGCCCCTAATCTCGGGATCGGTGGCGCTGGCTCTCGGTTTCACCACCCTGCAGGTTAATACAATTCCCCCCTTATCTTATCTGTCCATCAGCTTCCTGGCAAAGCCGGATCCGATTGGCTCCTGCAAGCCAGCTGGCCTGGAAGTTATCGGAATAATTCTTATCTCTGGGATCATTAACCAAATTGGGCTGGTATCGGCCTGGACGCCTGTGATAATAAAGTTACAAAAGGAATTGGGGGGTGGGGGGGGGAAGAAAAAGAAGGGACGGAGTCGGGAAAAGGTTCTGTTCCCTGGGGTTCCTCTTGGATGCAGAGGAGAAAACAGGGACCCCAGCTTGCAACGGTGGGGCCAGGAAATCCTAAAGCCACTCCGAATCTTCGTTTTCTGAGCAAGGCAAATAAGACGGTGGCTACAACATTTGCATGCGGAACGGCACCAATAATCCCCACCCTGGAAAATTACTTAACCATTTGCAACACCCAGTGGCCATGAGACTCACAGTTTGGTAACCTGTTTGCGGAGGAGCAACTTCCCTTTGTTGGCCCCCAACCCTTCAGCCTTTGGCAACGGGATCCGTTTCCTCGTCACTTTCTCCACACAAGAACCCTACCACAGACACCCACCGCAGTGCGTTTCCCTGACCCCGTGAGACTTTTTTTTTTGGAGGAGAAGGGCGCCATTTGCTTACAAAATGTGGCTGCCTCTGCACGAGGAAGCTGCCGCATGTTTGGTTCTGGAGTCATTTGTCCAGATGGCAGGCACGGTGGGAAGACAAGGATAAATGCTGAACGCAGCTCTCAGCGACAGCGAGCCACCAGCCCAGAACTCTGACTACTCCCATATGAGCCGACCCAACCGCTCGGCTGTCTTCTGAGTCCCTGCTGTGGGTGCCTCCCGCCTGAGGCTGAACAGGTGGCAACCGATGCTCCTTCTAAGCTGTGGAGTCTTGCGAGCAAAAATTCTAATTTATGGGCTACTGGCATTAAAGTTGCGAGCGAGCAATTTGACTGCTGCATAACTTCTTGAGCGAAGACCAAAATGTGAGAGCCGGAGGCTAAAAAACTGTGAGCTAGTTCACACTACCTCAGCTTAGAGGGAACGCTGGGGGCAAGGGTTCTCGGTTGTGGCACCAAAACTTTGGAGCCCCCCCTCAGAGAGATTCGTCTGTCTCTCTCTTCTGTCAGCAGGTGAAGACTTTTTTTGTTCTGCTTCGTTCAGCGTTCCCTCACTAACTCTCATTAGCCCTCTTCCCTGTTTGTGAGTTCAAGCATTTATATGTCTTGTTTCATTATTTTAAATAAATATATATATTAAGTGTTGTTTGAATGTTTGACATTTTTGCTGCGTTGGGGAGCCTGAACTGGGTGGAAAGGTACACATGGGGAGAGGCCGTGGCTCAGTAGTACAGCCTCTGCCTGGCACGCAGGAGGTCCCAGGTTCAATCCCTGGCAGCATCTCCAGTTAAAAGGACCAGGCAGGAGGAGACATGAAAGATCTCAACCTGAGACCCTGGAGAGCAGCTGCCAGTCTGAGTAGACAAGACTGACCTTGATGGATTCAGGGCCTGATTCAATATAAGACAGCTTCATGTGTGTTGGGAGTGCTTTGCATTCAGAAGGTCCCAGGTTCAATCCCCGGCATCTCCAGTTAAAAGGACCAGGCGGCAGGTGATGTGAAAGACCTCCGCCTGGGACCCTGGAGAGCTGTAAAGAGGGGCTGTGGCTCAGTGGAAGAGCCTCTGCTTGGCAGGCAGAAGGTCCCAGGTTCAATCCCCGGCATCTCCAGTTAAAAGGACCAGGCGGCAGGTGATGTGAAAGACCTCCGCCTGGGACCCTGGGGAGCAGCTGCCAGTCTGAGTAGACATCACTGACCTTGATGGAGCCATGGTTTGATTCAGTATAAGGCAGCTTCATGTGTTCAACTCTGCACAGAAATACTTAAAGTAAATGAATAAACTCCTGCGTACAGCATTGCTGAGCTGTGATCACACATTGTCCCTTTCCGTTTTCTTCATGTATGAACATAAGAACAACCCTGCAAGATCACACCCAGCGTCTGCCTAGGCTCCCATCTGGTACCCCATGCCGGCTAACCAGCTATCCCAGAAGACCCACCAGCAAGGGCATTCATACCGCCTCCAAACATGGAGGTTCCATTTCACCATCCTGGCTAATGGCCACTATAATCTTCCCCATTTTTTTTTTAAAAATCAGGATCATATGGTCCTTGGATCAGCAATGTTTCTGCTTGCGTCACACCTTCAAGCGTTATGTAGATCAAGGATATAAAAAATCTTGCAATAAAGTACCTCTCATATATAATTCTGTTTTCGGGTGGCAATGTTCCATATGCTCCCAAATGAGTTGGCTGCCTGATCTGTCACTCGGAAGGTGTGCCAATCCCCTGGCTGCGTTGCCTCAGTCCCACCCATGGAGCCGGCAGCCAGTGTCTCGGTCTCAGTCTGGAGGGAGCTGCTGAAGGGTATGGACGCTCCACCGAGTGGAGGCTTAGGAGGCCGAGGCTGAACATGGCGGCACCGCACCAGTCGTCGTCGGCCATGGCAGGATGCAGGGAGCTGGCCAGGCTGCGAGCCCACGGAAGCAGCGGCCAGCCTCTTACCCTCGGTGTGCTGCGAGGCGACAGACAGGCCCAACGATCTGGTAAGGAGGTCGAGACTCACCATGCCACCACCACACCAGTCGTCATTGCCCGCGGACGGCTGCAGCTGGCAGGGCGGGCTGCGAGTGGACAAGGACCAGCGCCATAGATGACAAAGTGGCCAAGGAGGAGGGCCAGACCAAGATCTTGCTAGCGTTCATTGTGTTCCTTTTACAACGAGCTTTGCTACTAGTTAATACATAATGGTAATAAGAAAACAAATAGCAAAAAGCAATCCCCTAATGCTTACACTTCATCAACACGTCGCCTTGGAGCCTTGTTGGCATCCTATAAAGTGTGTTAGAGTTAACTGGTCATCACAAGCGCACTGAAATCTATGCAGGCCGCCCTTCTTTCCTTCCTCCCAGCAGGTGGATCTCCTGTTTTACTTGTGCCTACTGTGAAGGAGGAGCTGTGGTGGCTCAGAGGTTAAGACGCTGAGCTGCAGACTGGAAGGTCTGTAACTTGGCAGTGAGACCCGAGTGCCGTGTGACGGAGTGAGCTCCTGTCTCTGGCCCCGGCTCCTGCCAACCTAGCAGTTCGAAAGCAAGAAACTGCAAGTAGATAAACAGGTATTGCTTCGCTGGGAAGGTAACAGCGTCCCGTGCGCCTCGGCGTCTAGTCATGCTGGCCACATGACCACGGAAACATCTTCGGACAGCGCTGGCTCTTCGACGTGGAAACGGAGATGAGCACCGCCCCCTAGAGTCGGATTCGACTGGCTTTCGAGCAAGGGAAACCTTTACCTTTACTGTGAAGGAGGAGCACTCCAAAGGAGAAAACAGCACTGTGGGGAGAGGAACCACAGAGTGTGGGGAGGCAGACAGGGAGTCGGGGCTCCAGCTCGACCTGACTGTCCATACAAAACAGGCCAACGAGATGTGCAGGATTCACACAGGAAGTGGCGAAAACGACATTTCTACAAGATAAAGCAGGCCAGTTGCCCTCTTCTCCTCTCTCCGAGCCCGACAATCGTGACGAAACAGAGAGTGACCTCCACCAAGGGAGAGGGGCTAAGAGTAGTAGCAGGATGCAGGATTTCCTCTGTCCTGCTCCCAGCATCTCCAGTTAGATGGAGCAGGAAAAAAACCTTTCTGTGCTCCCAGCATCTCCAGTTAGATGGAGCAGGAAAAAACCTCCTAGGGCTCTGCGGAGCCACAGCCAATCAGAGTAGGCGATGCCAGGCGACGCTGACGCCACAGCAGGCAGCATGGTTGCCCGTCTCTAGGTGGGTCTGGAGACCTCTTGGAACTACCCCTGATCTCCAGACTGTGGATATCAGTTCCCTGGGAGAAAATGGCTGCTTTGGTGGGCGCTATGGAATCGTACCCCACTGAGGCCACCCCCGCCTCAAACCCTGCTCTCCCCAGGCTCCACCCCCAAATCTCCAGGAATTTCTCCTCGCCCCTGTGTGGGCAGCCCAAAGCATCGCATGCTCAAAGGGATAAAACCATTACAGATTTGTAAAGTGACGGGACCAGAGAGTTCTCACAAAGAAAGGCCAGTTTCCCAGTCGAAGGGGTGCCGAAAACCTCTCCAAAATAGTTCTCCCAAACACTAGGAGAAATATGACAGCATGATCTAGAGCCGTGATCAAGGCCCTTATTAATCAAGGACCAAAAAGTTGGAGCATCATGGTTGTTTACAGCCGTAATCAATCTACCAACTTTCTGTAGAAGGGGTGCAATGTTCCCTCTAAGCTGTGGAGTCTTGTGAGCAAAAATTCTACTTTGTGAGCTACTGGCATAAAAGTTGTGAGCGAGCGATTTGGCTCCTGCATCAATTAGTTTGCTCTGGAGCCCTCCTTCCTGAGCGAAGGCAAAAATGTGTGAGCCGGAGGCTAAAAAACTGTGAGCTAGCTCACACTAACGCAGCTTAGAGGGAACACTGAAGGGGTGCGTGTTACACGGCAGAACCCCAACGAACAGAAGAACCAGCCGAAAGAGTAAAAGGTCCCCTCTGAGAGGATGGAGACCATTCCCCTCGCGGATGACTTGGCCGAGTAAAACGAATCAGAACAGGGTATGTAAACCCTCAAGGACCAACGGTTCCTTTCCCCGGGAAACGGACAACCATCTCGCGTCCACGTCTGACAGCATCAAACGTGCACATGAATCCCAATTCAGCAGCTTTTCACTACAGCCAGACCTATACAGCAGCAACCTCGAAGGAACAGGTCCCTTTTTCAGCCTTGAAGGGAGCCCCGTCTCCTTCGGAGCCCTGTTGGCTGGGGAGAAAGAAGCCAGGCCGGCCGGCGGCAAAAGTGGGCGGAGCGCGTTTTCTTTCCGCAAAACCCCCCCAAAACAAGTCCTTTGTTTTAAGCTGTTTTTTTAAATATATATATATATATATA